ACCTTCCCACTCACTTTTTATTCTTCTGTAGCGCGCTTCTGATTGGTTACTTTCATTAATTAATTACTAATTATCTACTTTACAAAAAAATTTCAAGCATGGATTTTTGGGCTCAGAATTTTTTTCTCTTTCGATCCCAACAATTGGGTGCGCGACTTCTGAGACACCCAATATAAGCTTAAATAGGGTATGTATGTTATAGAGAGTGAAAATCTCACCCCATCGCTAGGGGTTTTCTTACCCCTTTCCACAGGTGAGTGTGAGATTCTTTATCGAAATTTATCATAACTGGGCCATTTTAAGTCATTTTCAAGGAGAAAAGCTGTTTTACAGAAGGCCGTGATATGGAAGTTAAATTACTTTGTTGGGATTGGGCTAGGTTAGGTTTCGTGTCACCTACTTGTAACTTCTTCTCAATAATACACTTTTATCTACTTATTATTGTTATTTAAGTTGGAGTAAGACAATCTTCTCTGCAGTTTTCTACACTTTTTCACTCTCTATATGGTTATTCGAAGCATAATATGTTGTTCAACAAACTCTTTAATTTTTATGCTGATAATATATCTCACGCTCCACGGTGTACTCATCATGGACATGGGAAAAAGAAAATGGCGGACGGGGGTGAAGTAGACAAAAGCTTTTGTGAAAGAACGTCATTCGTAAATTTAGAATAAGATCAAATCATTTTTATGCACATATCCGATTATCAAGTATCTCTTGTCTAGGTCAGAAATATGTGTTATCAGCAATAAATAGAATGACCTCATCTTCAAATAATCTTAAAGATTATTTCCTGTAGGAAATCCGGAGGTCAAATTCTTTTTCTCCTAATGCATTTCTTATGTGACTTCCGCTCGTTAGGTCATTGGTCAGACTTCATCCCCCTCATGTGCGCATGCGTAGACTGTTAACGAAAAGCCATACAGTCTAACAAATACACGCGTAATCAATAATAAAAATGGACGATCACACACCCATCATGTCATTAACAAAATGGATGATTACAACATCATTAGAAAACATTCCATAAAAGGTAGTAGTAATAAAAGAGACAAACCCGAAGACATTAACAAAATACATGAGTACAAGAAAAAACACCCACATGCATCATGAGCGAGGCGGGGTTTGACCACTGATAGGCAAAATCTAAGGATAAGTGTCATAAGAAATAAATTAGGAGATGAGGTATTTGACCCCTAGATTTCCTATTTCCAATTGATTTCCCATTCGAAATCATAGAACTTACCTCGAAATAATGAGAATAAAACATGGTATTTCATATTTTTTGTAATAATTATTGTCTACCCACCACCTTTCAGGTGACTGCCCTTCAACTAACATTTTTTTTATTAGCACATTCATCTTCTATAAATATGACCTGCTCCTAATGGACTGTACACCACTTACATAACATAACCTCTCCCCTACTATCCGAAAAAAATTACAGTAAAATCTATCCATATTTCGGATTACGTTGGAATCTCGTGCCTATAGCTTTTGGACTATAAGCTTTGATTATTAAGAGATTATTACAACAATTGATAAACAGTGAACAAATAGTTCTGTTGCAAGGATTCAAAACTTCATCTCACATAAGTCTATTTAACACCACAGGGTCGTTTGTAGCTGGAACATACAGCACAGTTTAGATACTGATCATAAGATGGGTATTGATAGTTAGTACATAGTTAGTATACTATGTTTATTAATGTCTGAATTTTAATTTCTCTTAGTTCTGATGGGTGGCGCTACGATTTGGAAAACAATCGCTAACAAGAAAGGGCATCTTCTCGATGTCACTTATCTGTGTCGAGTTTTTATTTAATTTACATATGGAAACAACTCAGAATCGTACAGAAGGGTAACCAGTTTTTCTTTTTTCACATAAGTCAATGATAGACTACATTCTTGGAGATCTTTTAAGTTCTATACAGCCCAGAGCACCCATAAACATAGATAATTTGATAGAACCATTCTTACTGTAGCCAGTCCATCAATAATCAAACATTGGCTGAGATAACAGAGAGTATAGGGATCAGCTTTCATTTTTTTCTAAACGGAAAATTGGTTCTGGCTTAACAGTGAAATAATGATACGTTTTATATTGGAATTATTATTACACTTTATAGTAAGTATAAAAAAAATTGAGCCGTCGCGGGACGCCTGGGAGATGCGAAAATCGAAACTATTTTGTACAGAAAATATGCATGAAAGGGTGGTTTATTAAATAAAATAAGTATGACATCATCAAAAATAAAATATTGAGATATAGTCTCCATATTGCATTCTCTACAAATGTAAGAGCTCAATATGGCGATAAAAAGAGAGAGGAGGGGATGGTCGAACTGAGTAGAGTCGTAGAATCACAAGCGCGTGACGAGGAGTTGCCATGCTACAACCGACCTCACTCGCCACAAAAGTTGTTTCACGTCAAAATAGAAACCAAACAACAGACTATCGGAACATTGTATAGAATATAATTATAAATGTATAATTTAGACTTAAATAATATAAAACTTTTTCATACAGAAAATAATAATGTATGGATAACGTCATCTAACGGCCGCTCTATTACGCCAGATCATTCCTAGGGAATCATAGCATTACGGTCTTATAGTTGGGACGTTCAAAATTGACAATAGTCCTCAATGAAACAGTCGCATTCACTTTATTCTTTCTATTTACTAACTATAGACTAGAGCGGATCCTAACAGAACGCCTGCGTTGTTCTTGACAGACGTTGTAGGAAATATCGTAAAATATAAAAGAGATGTCAGGTTGGAATTGCAGCGGACACTAATAAAGAAAAAGGAATAATATTACATTAGTTAATGTGTAACAGAGAGAGATGCAGACAAGCAGAAAGTGAGCATGTTGCCAGCATCGGACTTTAAAGAAAATTCAACATTCTCAGGAATTTAGGATAGCAAAGACTTTCGTTTAAAGATATAATTCCAACCAGGCAGTTATAAAGTCGACCCTGATCATTTGCGTACCTGAGCAATCTCTAACTGCAGCACCGCTTACTAATATTCTTTTTTCACTTTTTCTATACTACTGATGAAGCATTTCTTGACTTAACAAGGGCGTGCTCAAAACTCAGCAAATGACTACAGCCCCAAGTGGAAACAAGAAAGAAGATAATGTCCGTTCTCACACATAATTCATTGCGTACTTTGTCAATTTTGATAGTCTCAACTTTACCTCCTTTATTCTTATTGATCAGTTTTGTGTGCGGTATGTACCGTTTAGTTATGTTAAGGTTAGGTATCTCCCCTCTGGGAAACTATCAAGATTTAAATGTATGGGTGTGCATTAAATGCAGATATAATAGTGAACTGCAATCACTAAACTGAGTGGTGGTAACATTTTAGTGTGAACTCAAATTTTTTACAATACAATAAAGAAATTTATTAATAATGGGTGCATCTTGGTAGTTGCAATAATTTCAAAATATGTATAAGGGGTCGTCCATGAAATACGTCATTCATAGTTTCATCATTTTGGATCCCTCCCTCCCACATTGTCACACTTTCAGTGACCGCCCTAACAAATATTACGTCACAAAAGCTTTTCTTAAGATCAAAAATAGCAATGAGAATAATTTTCTATCGGAATGAAGTATATTAAGAACTGCCAAGTTAAGGTAAACATTAAACTAAAATTGATGAACTGCAAACGTCATACATGCAGCCCCCTCACCCTTGCCACATCTCGTCATTCTAAGTAATATTTCCTTCTACCCCTTATTTACGAAAGTATTTTATAAATAACCCCTAAGTAACTTTCTTTAAAACTTTCGGACTAGTTTTTTCAAATTTCATTTTAATTTTGATTCAAAACCCTAGTAAATATTAGCTAATTAGTTATAGTTTCACAATTAAAACGGAAAGGGAACAATAATAACAATTTTAATGCTTAATTAACTCGTAATTCTTAAGACAACTTATACTTTTAAATTACGTTTCTTTGGTCGATTAATTACGTACAGTGAATCTCAAAGTGGTATCGCGAAACATACTTGGGGTTGCAGAAAAATTAATTACAGGTTAATCAAAGCATGTTGTAAATGCCATTTTTTGTTCAAATACGTATCAAACTTAAATTATTAATTTTTATTAATAATAACAATAAATCTGCTATTGATTAACCTTATGAATGTTTCAATGTAATTAAACAAAAGAAACTGATTCCTTCTCAATTCAAATTAACACTTTCCGGGATGGGTTTCTACCCACATGTGCCCTTCAGGAGAGGAAAGTACATTGAAATGAATGGAGAAGTTAAGGAGTCGCGAATTAAAAAAATTAAGAAACACTGGACTATATGATTAAAAATTTTTACACACATTAAGTGCATTTGAATTTCTGTTGCATTGCAATCAAATTAATTTCGGATTCATTAAATAATTCTAATGATTTTTCAGAAATCATCAAGTAATGAAACTTAAAATTACAAATTATATACGTACAGTTCGTTTCAAGAAGTTAGAGATATGCCCCTACCCTTTATTAGGATGCGCCGTAGCATAATCCCAAATTCAATCATATTTGTCTGCGGAGCTCATTTCTCCACCAATCATCGAGCGAGAACTAGACAAAAGTATACAGTACCATTTGCAAAATTATTTAAACTGCCTCGTTAAAATTTAAGAATATGCTTTATTTAAAAGCATATTTAGCCAAAAATAATAACAAGTGAATTAACTTAACGTTCTACACACCTATAAAACTTTTGCATTGCTTTCTATTGTTAATTTATATACATTTTTGTCTTAAGAAATTGCTAAACATTTTCGTCTAGTACTGTACAGTTCTAGCCGATCTGCTAAGACCGTCCATCGAAAGCTCTTCTCGTTCAAGCTTGTTCCAACTATTTCTGTCTTGCTCACGCTTAGTGTGTATTCTGTCTTTCTTCGCGCAGATTTCTTCAAGGTCACAATTCTAACAAATTGAAATGGACTGTATGTACGTGTACGTAGGTACTTAATTTTTTCTTATATGTAAGTATCGCTATTTAGAAAAGTAAAAAAAATAAAAGGAAAGATTTACTGAAAACATCTAGGTGTTTTATATAAATATTCACTTCGGCGTTCTAAATCTTCTGAAAAAGTGCAAGGATTTCAATATTGCTAGCACTTACCAAACATATAATAATTTCAGGCTTAATGATAACTCTAAAAATAGCTTATACTTATTATGTAAATATAATACATAACGTTGTGCTTAAGAGTGAAATATTGAAGCGAACACATCGAAGTACAGATGTTTTTAAAAACAGACACAATAAAAATATTTTTATGGAATACCGTTCAAGTATTTATAGCACACTAAATTTTTAATAGGTAATTAATTTAAACTCGTCACCTCTTTCAGTTTCCATCGCTGTCACTTTAACTGTCTGTCCGAATGATTTCACTCACTAGTGCTTTACAACATGAAAAACGACGTTAACAACATTAATACGATTTTCGAATAACCTGCGCCAGTTGCAGAGTTGCTGTATTTTCCAGAAACGCTGTCTTGATTGCTGCCGTGTCCATACACTGCTGGTTGAGCTGATGGTTCGACCATATTTTCAACATCTGTAAAAAATTAAAAAACAATGATAGTTTTTGTCGTCCGGCACAGCATGGACACATTTACTGGTAGCATGTTCGGATAATAGGGGAAGCTTCGTTTCGGAACAGGTGGGCAACATACTAGCAATTAGGGGTAAATACAAAGGATGAAAGTACCACAATTGTTTTTTAATTTACGTCATCAATATACTTAGTGTTCAAAAATTTATAGAGATGTTGACTTATGTGCATTCAGACGAAAGAGTAGACAAGTGATTTGGAACAAAAGGGGTGGTTGATAAGTGTAGAGTAGACAAAATTTATTAAAACATGAAAACTTAAGAGCTTAGGGAACAACGTGCTCTGTCTCGAAAAAATGTATTCCCGTTCAAAACAAACTTGTATAAATGACCTTGACAAAGTCGAGGACATATTCAAGGTAACCAGTTTACTCTTCGAAAGCATACAACTTTGGTGTAAACTTTTCCCAAAACAGTGAGAGACAATCGTGATATTTCCTGTTTCTTTGCAATAATTTTTATCTATTTCACCCTTGTCCGTCAACCCGTTTGACAAATCAGCACGGATTATTGCTGATTGAAGGGTTGAATGAATCTAGGTATGCATACATACATCTAGGCTAACATAATTTTTCAAGAATAACAGCTGTTGTTAAGTAACGTATTTCCGATTGTTGTAGAGAAAACATCTCAATTAATAGTATTGAATAAATGACTCTTTATTATTGATTTGTTCCCTGTTGATTTATGCTGTTTCAGTTTCAGTTCAATTTATTTCTTCTCTCCAAGTCTTTTGATTGTAACCTTTATTTCCTTGTGGTTTCTTGGATTACACATTGGAATCTTGTGCGACGATAGAGTAACTTGAACTTCTTCATAAACCGCTGCAATTTCTTTTACAGACACTTTTAGCTTGTTTTAGTAAATAACTTAAACTGCTTTTGATCTAAGATGAACAACTTGTCCTCCTGGTAATCATCTGCAGAAGATTTCCAATCTCTGTGAAACTTTTGCCATCATCAGTTCATTTCCGCAAGTCTTCTTCATCATTTGGATTATATGTGGATCCTAATAGATTTTCAATATGAGTGCACATATTTAATTTCTTCAATTATCGTCCGAGGGCCAAAAGCTTAAAAATTTATATGAATTTTGAGTGTTTTGCTATTCAACGTCACAGGGTAGAGCGGAAGGAAAATATCATCACCATCAGTCTCTTTTTCGGAATCGTAGGAACGAATGGATGGTGTCTGAGGTGAAAAAGATATAAATATATACGAAATAAAGACCAAAGAGAAGTGAAAGATTATCTGTGGAATGTTATTACTGCTCAACTTTAGCCTAAGCGATCTAAGGAAACAACAAAAAAACATTGAAAAAGGTAGATCAGTGTTCTCAGTAATGGTACGCAATATCCTAAACCCTCTAGGTAAGGGATGGCGAATCTCTACGTATCGACGTGCCATTTTTATAAAGAAAAGTTTAATCAGGTCATAGACGTGTCATCAAATAATTTTGTGTTGTGATTATGGGGAAAATAATAATAATAAGCAATATCAACTCAAAATTATTTATTTACTACAAAAAAATAGGAACATTTTGCAATGCTCAAAGTAAAATTAGTGTGACTTCTGTAGTTGCAGATTAGATGACAAATAACTTATGTTAGTGTTGTAAGAATGCATGCTGAACTGGAGTCATCTGTCAAACGGTTTGTAACCGAGTTTTTAATGTTATTTATCTCTGAAAATAATGACACGCAGGCATAGGTTGATGAAAACATTGTTGAAATAGTATAAGTCAGCTTCTTCAAATAATTCAATGTGTTTGGTAACGCATTCCATGCTTCCAAAATTTTGTTATTAGCATTTTCACTTGTATTACCTGTCAATCTTTCTGTTTTAATTATTTCTAACTCTTTCCTTGTTTCAACAAATTTTTGATTTCATATTGAACTAGACTGAAAATAATTCAACTGCATTTCATATTCTTCAATTTCCAACCTATTGAATTGGGACAAATTCAGTTTATCAAATGACGTCACATAAGGGTACATAAACTTGAGTATTTCCGATAATTCTCTGGACTGAGAAAATCTCGCTGAAAATTCCTTGATTAAAGAATCAATCACAGAAAGAAATTCTTCAGTAACTTGATCTTAGTCTGGTTTCTCGTGTATTTCTAAATTGTTGTTATATTTTTTCAAATTTGAAAACTGGCAGTTTAGCCTCAAAAGCGCGAATGACATCTCTATGCCTTGAAGCTTCACTCAGGGTTGCTAGTCATAGAATACCTACTTCAGACATTTTTTCGTAGTGCATAATGAAATTTCTGATTGAAATTAGTGTCGTGGCTAAAATATTGTGTCGCGTGCCAGTAATGGCACGCGTGCCATTGGTTCGCCATCCCTGCTCTAGGTCATGCCGCACAATATTTCCCCGAACCAAAGATGCTCCACATAATCATGTTAATATAATATCAACTTAGGGCAATATATCAACGTCTACTGATATTTGCTGCTTACTGACAAATTTCATGGAGATTGACTTGAACGGCGCGTTTGGAAGTACCTACATTTAAAATTTATGTGAAGTTGTAGGTTGATTGCATAGCAATGCGGTATCAGGTCTCTTTAAATTTAGAGCAATAATGTACAGTTATTTTTTGTGCTAGAACAAAATACGCTACTGATATTTTAACATTATAATTAAAAAATATTCAAAAAATTAGTTGTTAATTGCGTATTTTATAAAATTACTAGGTATATACTTATTAAACATGCGGTTCATTAATGTAGGAATTTGAATTTACGGAATGCAACGTTAATTTTTTCTTATTATGGTCAAGGCTATGACATACATTCTTATTATGACATTTGACATTTGCCAACACATGGTTGAGTAGTATGCGAGGAAGCGAGAAAACATCAACGAAGATTGCAATGGCAGCGGCTATTTTGTAATCACATTGATATGATTGTAGCCGGACTCTGTATTTGTAGGAACTCTAGATCATTCCCGTTTTTAAGTATGGCATTGAACGCATTCACGTTTTCCCCTACCATTCTAGAATTTCCTCTCCTTTCAAACCATTTCGTAGCTTATAATAAATCAACTAGTATAATAATTAAGAAGCAGCTTTGCATTGGAAGTGGTAATAATATAAGCGGATATAATTCAACATATTCTGATATTTGGGGTAAATCCTCTTGGTATAATTATGTACTTGCAACAGTCTCCTTTGATATTTTTATCATAGTAGGCCGTGTCTATAATCTATACATCGAAAATGCGATCAGCATCTTTAGAGACAGTATAATTATAGGGATATATATGCAGGGACAAATAATTAGTATGCTTAGATTTACAGACTATGAAGCAGTATTAGCAGCAAGCAAGGAGAAGTTAGAGGTAGCTTCAAATAAACTAGAAGCGGTATTGACAAAACTGTATTGTATGAAGATAAATAAAAGTAAAGCTAAAATTCTGGTAGGTATGTAAGGGAAAAAAAAGTAGAGAAAGAGAAAATATAAAGATAGAAGACGAAAAATTAGAAGAAGTGGCCGATTTTAGGAATTTGGGAAGTAGTAGTAGGGATCTAAAGCAAAGAATAGCGCAGAGCTGAGTCGCCTTCAATGAAGAGAAGTCACTTCTATGCTCGCAAACGGTTAATTTAGAGATTCGAAAAAGATGTTAAAGGTATATGTTTGGAGCGCGGTGCTGTACAGATGCTAAGCATGGATAGTGGGCGCGGCGGAAAAAAAAGATTAGAAGCGTTCTAAATGTGGTGTTGCAGGCGAATAATGAAGACAGAGAAGGTTAGAAATGAGGAGGTATTAGAAAGAATAGGGGAAACGAGGGCTCTATGGAAGTCAAGATCAAATAGGTAAGGTAGGTTGGTAGGACACCTTGTTATGCATGAAGGAAGGAAGAAACAGGAGTTAAAAGGAGTAGCGGTGGAATTAGATTAGATTACTGTTCGCAAATATTTAAAGGATGTTGTAGTTTTAAGGAATTGCGAAGATTAGATAAGGACAGGAAAGAGTGGAGGTGCATATCTAACCAATCTTGGGGCTGACGACTTTATAATGAAGTCGTGTCTAACATTTGCAATGCTGCAGTTTACAGGCAATATCAGTAGATGGCTACACATTGCTGTAACCCGATAATTTTTGTCTGCTTGCAATAAATAAAACGTGACATACTTAATTACCTCATTGTTCTTTAGTTGCTTGCGTTTTTGACTGAAATACATCATTAAACATTTGTATTTTAAACGTTTAAACACAAAGAACTATACAATTCTCTTAAAATCGCTCCCATTTGATAAAGACATTTTTTGGTGGAACACAATAAGATAGAAGTTGACGATAAATACTAACAGAGCAGGAAGTGACGCCATTACCGAGAAAGATTTCCGCAGTTAGTATTGCGACACGGACGCAATATAAGTAGATGGAAGCCAGCATGGCTGCATTTTATCAGGAAAGAAGAAGCACTGAAATATCAACCGGCAAGAAACAAGCAGTGACAGGTTATCAGGTCGTCTGTGCGCCTTGATCGTAGAATCTTCTTACAACAAATTTATTTTTGACGGTAAAGGTATTGCTGGGTACAATCTGTGCCATTTATCGATGCGACGGTCGCAGAGTGTAGGGAGCAGGAAAAACGGCAAGCACACGATCCCGAGAGGTCATCTAATTTGTCACCGGTTAATCCACTCCGTTCCGGAAAAATTGTATAAAGCGTGAAAGTTTTGAGTTAATAAAATGTTAAAGGACGGTTTATTCGAAAATCAGTTATCTTTAATGAAAAAATTGCGGTTTGCATAACGACAATAGTAATCTGGATTACGCATGGGCAAAGTATAGGGTCAATTGAAAAGTCCCTGGCCTGACACATAGATGGCGGCACCAGAACTAAATCCATATGATTTTCAGTTAGTCCTAACCTTCAAAAGACGCGTCTATAAATTTGACGGCTGTCGGATCATTAGTTTGTGAAT